CTTGTTTTGTTATGGGGGTGTTCATTATGGTCCAGCCTTGTTTCGTTACGGAGGTGTTCAATATGTTCCAGCCTTGTTTCGTTATGGAGGTGTTCATTATGGTCCAGCCTTGTTTCATTACGGAGGTGTTCAATATGGTCCAGCGCTGATTCGTTACGAAGGTGTACACTATGGTCCAGCCTTGTTTCGTTACGGAGGTATTCAATATGGTTCAGCCTTGTTTCTTTACAGAGGTGTTCATTATGGTCCAGCCTTGTTTCGTTACGGAGGTGTTCAATATGGTCCAGCCCTGATTCATTACGGAGGTGTTCAATATGGTCCAGCCATGAATTGTTACTGAGGTGTTCATTATGGTCAATCCCTGGTTCTTTACGGAGGTTTTCATTATGGTCCAGCCCTGGTTCGTTACTGAGGTGTTCATTATGGTCCAGCCCTGGTTCGTTATGGAGGTGTTCATTATGGTCAAGCCCTGGTTCGTTATGGAGATGTTCATTATGGTCAAGCCCTGGTTCGTTATGGAGGTGTTCATTATGGTCAAGCCCTGGTTCGTTACTGAGGTGTTCATTATGGTCCAGCCCTGATTCGTTACTGAGGTGTTCATTATGATCAAGCCCTGATTCGTTACGGAGGTGTTCATTATGGTCAAGCCCTGGTTCGTTATGAAGGTGTTCATTATGGTCAAGCCCTGGTTCATTATGGAGGTGTTCATTATGGTCAAGCCCTGGTTCGTGATGGAGGTGTTCATTATGGTCTAGCCCTGATACATTACGGGGGTGTTCATTATGGTCTAGCCCTGATTCGTTACAGAGGTGTTCATTATGGTCTAGCCCTGATTCGTTACAGAGGTGTTCATTATGGTCTAGCCCTGATTCGTTACAGAGGTGTTCATTATGGTCAAGCCCTGGTTCGTTATGGAGGTGTTCATTATGGTTAAGCCCTGGTTCTTTATGGAGGTGTTTATTATGGTCTAGCCCTGATTCGTTACTGAGGTGTTCATTATGGTCTAGCCCTGATTCGTTACAGAGGTGTTCATTATGGTCCAGCCCTGATTCGTTACAGAGGTGTTCATTATGGTTAAGCCCTGGTTCGTTATGGAGGTGTTCATTATGGTCTAGCCCTGATTCGTTACTGAGGTGTTCATTATGGTCTAGCTCTGATTCGTTACAGAGGTGTTCATTATGGTCTAGCCCTTGATTCGTTACAGAGGTGTTCATTATGGTCCAGCCCTGGTTCGTTACAGATGTGTTCATTATGGTCAAGCCCTGGTTCGTTATGGAGGTGTTCATTATGGTCAAGCCCTGATTCGTTACAGAGGTGTTCATTATGGTCCAGCCCTGATTCGTTACAGAGGTGTTCATTATAGTCTAGCCCTGGTTCGTTATGGATGTGTTCATTATGGTCTAGCCCTGGTTCGTTATGGATGTGTTCATTATGGTCAAGCCCTGATTCGTTACTGAGGTGTTCATTACGGTCAAGCCCTAGTTCATTATGGAGGTGTTCATTATGGTCCAGCCATGATTCGTTACTGAGGTGTTCATTATGGTCAATCCCTGGTTCTTTACGGAGGTTTTCATTATGGTCCAGCCCTGGTTCGTTACTGAGGTGTTCATTATGGTCCAGC